AGGGAGCCCGATGTGGGACTCGATCCCAGGACCCTGGGATCATGACCTGAGCCGAAGGCAGACGCTTAACGACTGAGCCACCCAGGCGCCCAAGGGCCTTTTTAAAGGCTGCAATATATTTCATTTGTCCATTGAAGGACTATTAGGTTTTCTCCCACAGTCTTGCTCTTAAAATGTAGTAAAAATGCAGTACATGAATGTGGGGAAAAGTACAAGAGGAGGGATTTCTGACTTCAAGTTTCATGAAACTTTTGATGGACGGTACCCTCTTAAAAGTTGTTTCTACTTTTCACACCCCTTTTTAAAATACCTTTGCAGATTGGGGGTATTATGAATTCCAAGTTATGATCAATACAATATTGGTATCTCATTTTTACCATTTTTATGTCCCTGGTCCTTGTGAGGTTGGGCATGTTTTCATATACATGTTAGACGTTTGGTTTTCTTCTGTGAGTTTCCTTTCTGTATTCTTTGCCCATTTCCTTCCCTATAGAGTTGATTTTCTGTCATTTATTTCAAGGAGCTCATCGTATATTAGAGATCTTAACAATTACATGTGTCACACGTTTGCTTCCAGGCACCTGTAAAGTCTCTCTCACTTTTGTGTACTGCCCATCCCCTCCGTTGTCTTCTTCCTTTCCATTTTCTCTTTTGCCTAGTCGATTTCCTGCCTTATTTGTGTCAGTACTAAACTAGAAGGGAATAAGGGAAAAGGAATTAAATATTTGAATAGGGCCTTCATTTTAGCTAAAAAGGATATGGAACCTTCTCACTTAGTGTGTATGGAGGATTTTGTGGGTGCTTCCTGTCTATTCCAATTTTTCACAAAGTGACTTCCTTCAGAACCATTAATAATGACTAACTATATATCCCAGTGAAAACAGGGAACTCACTGACATACTGGCTGATCAAATGTAAAAAATACAGGTAGTCATTTGGATGTTCTAATGAACAAATATTTTGTCAATAAAATATATTTTCATTTACCAAATATTTGAAATATTTATATGATGCTCCAAACTAGAATTTTTTTAAGCAAATGCTGTGCTACTTTACTTTTTTATACTATAAAGACAGAAAACCGTAAAGAATCTTCATTAATTCACTTAGAAAGGACTCAGGCTGAAAGATAGGTCAAAGTAACACAATCTTGGGGAAAGATGGGCAGTTAGGAAATGTCATATTTTTCAGGAAGGCATTTGGATTGCTAGCTCTTGCAGAGATATAGAGGAGGGAGAAGCAAAGGCTTAATCATATTTTAAAAAACAATAAATTCCTTTGTCAATTCCCCCCAGTCCTCGCCAAATAAAAAAGTACCTTCCTCTTTCTCCTCTTATTTTTTCTGTGCCCAATCATTCACATTGTCCCTGAATGTTTCTTGTTTTGTTTGCTCTTAAGTAATCTGAGAATGAAGATTTTTATATTAGCTGAATATTGAGTTTTAAGGTCAGGTGTGGTAAATTCTATCATTTTAAACTTTTGTTTTACATCTTTATAGCCTCTTGTTCTTGGCAAGTTATAATTCAGGAAGGCAGAGAAATTGATGTTAGTATGCAAAAGCAAAGTATTTGGCAGCCAAGATAATCAGCATTTATGCAAACCAAAAATGTTCAACATTTATGAAGATTTAAGAAATGTAGAAAATGTTATAGGGCTGTTTACAAATTAAGATTTATTGCCTGCACCTTGAATCCATAGGGTACATTTTTATCTTTTTTTTTTAATCTAAGAAATTAGTGGCACACTTTAAGAGTTTACACTATAATAGGCAAATTAATCTTGTCGTATAGAATGAAAAAGGCTTACCATGTGTTGGAAATTTAAGAAATTGTTCCAATTGTATTCTGTCATAATAAACATCTACCCCTTCCCTCCCCCCATCTCTGCTTTTCCACACATGGGTCATCTGTTTCTGTTTTCTGGGCTAAGCTTACAATGAGAGCAAGCAAGATGGGGCTCCATCTGTTCTCTCAGTAAAAGTACCAGTATCATTGGTGGTCATAAGGATTCTTCAGTGATCCTTAATATGCTTTTCTTTGACAATGATTATACTTCAATTTTTGGGGACAAGTGACTAATTAGTGTCATATAAAAAAAGATAATATGTCATTATGCTACAATCAGAGTTTGTCTTTCTATAAGTCCAATTCAGGTTCATTTCCCTTATTAAAAAAAGAAAAAAAGTTTGCTTGGAAATGGCAAAAAGGAACAGAAACTATAGTGTGTCATGAACAAAATTCTGGAAAACTTAACTAATCTTGTTCTCTTAACATGTTTTTCAGGAATATAATGAGTGACTAATCAAATAATTGAACAATTAAAGTCCATTTATTATATGATGTTTTTATACAAAGAGGGTTTCATTTGAAGATAAATTTCTACTCTGGCACATGGAGAGAAGTTGAATAATCTTGGGTGACATCAAATTAAAGGTGATTAGTTGTAGTGGATGATGTGACATTTGATGTAGACATTAACTCTGGATATATTATAGGCTTTGGTGTGGGGTCACTAGGAGGATGTGGTAGTGTATGTGTAAACCCTGCGTTTTAAATATAGGGTCTAGTATGCTTTCAATCTGTGGGTTTTCTAAGTATGCCCAGATGAGAGTTCTTAACTATAAGCATAATTTTGTTTACCATAAATGTGAAACAAAGCCAACCAGGGACACCTAGGGAAGAGAGGATCCTCAAGGACCTGTTTAGACAGTTGCTTCTAGAAAAAAAACAGTCTTCAGTCAAAGACTTGTCAATCCTATTTTTAAAGATTGATTAGGTAGCTGATTTTTTCCTCCTTCTGTCCTTGGAGAAAATGAAAAATAACAGGTCCTCTTCCACTTTAGACTAAACATTCATATACTTTATGACAGTTAGGTCTCCCTTGAGCTTTCTCTTCTTCAGGACAAATTATGCTAACTCCTTGAATCTGTCCTCATAGGTCCTATTTTTCAACCATTAAATCATCTTATTGTTCTTCCCTGGATCTTTTCCAGTTTCTTCAAAATCCTCTAAAAAGTATAAAGTCTTAAATTATATATCTTTACATATATTAGATAGGTTAGGACTTCAGGATGATATTTATTTCCACCTTCTAAGTCAGAAAAGATGGTCACTATGACACAGGTCAGTTGGATGAGAGGAATAAGAATAAAGAGAGAAGGCAAGTGAGCAGTTGAATATTCAACTCACTGGATTCATATGATCAGAAATAGTAAAACTGTGTCTGCAAAAATGTCATGTGTTCTTCCTAAGTCCTTTGGAAGATACTAAAACACAAAAATTATTATAAAAACAACCAGAACTGCTTTTGTTTTTTCTTTAAACAGATACCTCTTTTTCCTATTTATAATTCTATAAAGAAAAAGATTAGCAGGTGAATTAACGTAATGGCAAGTTCAGGACAAAAAAAAGAGGTGGGTGATAGAGGAAGATGAGCACTTGCTAACTCAAGGAAGGGCACAGGTATTCAGCATTAGACTGACCTCAGCTTAATTAAGAGCTACAACCACTTTTTCAAGCAGGTATTAATGACAGGAGGGGGCATTTGTGGATTGTTAGCTAGCATAGCATTATTTTTTTGGTAGTACATGACTAGTAGGAAGAACATGATACTAGCTTTGCTGATATGCTGTCCTGGGTCTGTGGCATTGGATTGTCTTCTCTGTGGCATCACCTTGATTTTGAGTGACCAGTATGATCAGCGTACTGTAGGCATTTCAACCTCTCTATTCCTTAGGGCCAAAAAAGAACCCATAATCTTATAAACTAAGCTCTCAGCTGTCTAATTACTATGAGAGTAAGATTCCAGTGTAATAAAAACCTAGAATAAAAGCCCTAAATCTTCTAGTCTTTCTTACTTCAACTTAAGTGCATTAATGATTGAATTCTGTATTTCTTTAATAATTTAACTTTAAATCTAAAGTTTTCTCTAAGCCCAAAGCAAAATACCTGGCACTTACCCTACTCTCTCTCCTGGGTTATGCACCATGAAATGGGGTGAACTGCTTCATAGCCTCCCCAAGAGAGAAATTAAGTCATTACAAAAAGGTGGTTCTGTGTTCTTTCCAATATCCTCCCTATAAATCAACAGTAAATAATAGGGATCACAACAAAGTCAGCTTATAAGAGATTTAATTCCCCAGATGGAAAGCTTCATGATGCACCCATTGCTGGTTTATTTTCATGTTAAGGTGGGATAAAAATATAAATTTGCCATGCCCATAATGAAGAACCCCAGGCAGATCTTAGAGGGCTCTTGCATCGAATGGTGGGCAGTGGTGAAATATTTGCAGTTCGCACTAACCCCTCTTGGAAAGCTAATGCAGTATGGTCTTACCATTTTTGCAGACAGGACAACATTGTTCTGGTTCATAGACTGGGTTGACACACTCAGGAACTGCGCAGTCTGCTACAACACAGTGAACTTCATTGCTGGGCTCACAGCGACACCATTCACATGGAGAGGGCTAGGAACAAATCTAAAATTAGCCCCTTTTCTCCTATAACTTAATGCTTTGCACATTCATATGCTGTCAGAAGATAAAACATCAGTGTTTATATTGGCTTTACTGTATTAACTCCATTTACCACGTGTATGATTCATTCTTCCCCAATGGAAAGCAACCTGGAAATCCAAGCCACAGTGGGTCGCCGTGTGCCACTCAGGTTGCCGTGAGCAATTGGAGCACACTGGAATGACTCTTCCTATGACTTATATTCCTACTTTCCAAAGAAATGTTTGGACAACTAGTATGTCACCTCCTGGTTTGGTTTCCAGATGTACTGATTGCTCTGCCTTCCTCTGGTAAACAGGAATGATACTGGACCATGTGAAATAAGTTTTTGCCATTTGTCACTTTTTTTCCCCCCAAGAAAGACAAAGATTACTGAGAAAAAAGAAAATGGTAAATGGACATCCTTACCCTTTGTAGGAACTCTTTTCCAAGCTAACCTAGACTCTAAATGGCTTTTTTTCCAATATGAATTTTAGAAGAGATTGCATTTGGGATCCAAACACCCAGGTACTGCCTCTTGAAAGATTTAGTGAATAACTTTCATCTTGCCTGCTTGCTGTTATGAATGAACTGAAATGATTGACTTAAAAAGCCACTACTTAAGAGTCAAAGACTCTAAAAATGGAATTGAAAAGTGATTAATTTAGAGGGGGGAAAAAAGGGCAGAAAACAATTTTTGACTCAACAGTACTTACCAGCCATGAGTGAGTTTGAGATTTTCTGTTTCTTTTCTAGAAACTGCCTAATACCACAAATCATTTCAAGCAGTGACCACTCTGTGACTTTCTCAAGTTCTCAAGTTCTAGCTCTCCTTTCTCATGAAACAGAGGCTTGGAATTCTGGAATAAAAAGTTGGAGGTCTTGGAAGTTATACAGGTCTATATTTCTCAAATCATGCCATTTGTTCTGAGAAAATTCTGCCTCTTGTCCTGTGCCACAGGGCTATATTTCCTCTCTTGCAAACTGTGTTAATTAAAGCTCTCTGCTTTTGTCTCAGTGGCTAATGTCCATGTCAGCTCTTATTTCTTCTTGAACCTGACTATTTGGATAATATCAATGTTTCTTGACTCAGGTAGTCCGTGGGGGTGAACATCTTTCAACGAATTATTTTCAAATTAATTTTACCTTTGCCTTTTGCTTAAAGAATGATAGTCTGGCTTTCAATTATTTTACTTTCAAATTTAGTGGGAATAAGAGAATTAGACAGAATCTGTCAGAAAGTATTGCTATTTCTTAACATGGTCAATAAATTTATTGAAGGGTACAGTTAAGCTCTTTACTGTGTGGTAAAATGGGTTAAGTATCTCAACGGAATCTGTTGGATCATCTTAAGGGCTGGGATTTTCCTGAAGTTACTCTACTGAATAATCTCAGTAAACTAAGGAAAAGATTTGATACTACAGCTCATTATTTGTTGGAGAAAATGTGAGAAATACTGTGAGAAAGGAAAATTCTTGCTGCTCTCCTGTTCCTTATTTTTCAAACCCCATTGTGTTATCTTAAATCTCCAAGCAAAATGATCCGAAGATGTCCCCCTTTCCTTGATTAATTGCAAAGAAGTATTTTTGCATGGCCTTCTGAAGTACAGCAAGGACTTGGCCTGCATTTATTGCTAATATGAGAGAAAGTAGGAACCACTAATCTCACTTCCACACCCTGCCCTCCCACAGCTGTGACTCTTTGTTCTTGCTGGTTCCTTTCTTGCTGAAGGAGGGGCTGATCTGTACAACTCTAGTGGACTGATTCTGGCATTAAAAATCCCCAAGAGCCCCTAAATTTTCCAATGCAAAATGTTTACCTCAAAGTAACTGTGGCCTTTGAGAAAGATTTATTGGACTATTAGAGTCCCAACTGATAAAGACATCATTCTGATTCAAACAATATTTTTTGACATGATTAACTACTGGATATCATGTCAAACAATTTACCTATATCAACTTATTTCTCATAATAACGCTATGAAGGAAGATTTGTTATTATCTCCATCCCACAGATGAGGACATAGGCTGAGAGAGGGTCAATAACTTCCCCACTCCTGCAGGTTAAGATAGAGGCAGGATTTGAACCCAGGCAGCAGACCTGCTATACCATACTGCCAGTGAGAGCAAGAATCACTATTCTGGGTACTCCCGTTGGAATAGTTAATTTTCCAGTGCTTTCTACCCTTCTCCATGCACACCAGATCCAGAGGAATAGCCATTAGGAACTGAATAATTGATTTATGGAAGATATGTACCTCTGCTAAGAAAGAGAATTTCACTAGGGTATTTAGTGCATAAAGAGATTATCATGGAGCCATAGAGCTTTTTAACCTTCTGCAAATGTAAATTAGTAAGGAAAGTATAGTAGGTTGAAGTTACGTCGCCACGAGGCTCACGTTCTTGGGCGCGTTGGCATCTTTAGCCTGGTAACTATACTCATGGGTATCTGGGAGAAGCACAAACAGATAATGGTCCAGTAAGGACCCAGGGGCATCTGTGGGAAGCCAGTGGAGACTGGATGTGTGTGCACTGGAATTCTGAGAAGTGTTCTGAGGAAGAGCTAGGACTACAAGCCTTGGTGATAAAAGTACACCTGATCTTTGAAGGGATCTTGCATAATGAGAAACATAAACTCGGAAAGTAAGAATGTCACCCTAGCCGCTGAGTGACATTGTCTTTGAGTCCTCCTCTGACCATGACTTTATTCATATGTCACACCCTTCCTGGCCCAGAATCTCTTGTCACAAATGTGTCATTTCCTCTTTTGTTTTCCTTAAGTTGTTTTGTTTTGTTTTCAAACCTGTTTCAGTCCGTTTCTTCTTATCCTCAATCTCCATGTGTGCTCCACCCCCATTCTGTACACCTTCTGCTTAGGGGTTTTGAATATCTAATGTGGCACTCTGTTTAAGTAGAAACCATGCATTTTATCTGTAGTTCCTGCTATCACTGAATATATTTGCATGGCAAATTCAAATGCTGTCCCAGCTGCCCCCAAATTTCAAAGGGGTTTCCTACTACATATATATATGTGTATATATATATATGTGTGTGTGTGTATGTGTATATATATATGTATATATACATATAATTATATAAAATTATTTTATAATAGAGTAGAAGGGGGTTCTTTTTTAAATTCTGGTTTAAGTGACTAAGAATCCCAATTTTTCTCCTTTGTATTAAAATGGAAGTATGGCAATACATATCATTTTTTCAATGGTTAACTTCTGAAGACCTTGAGGCTGAAATCCCAATGCCACTGTCTGTGATTTTTGAGAATTCTTAGAGAATTGGATGGGAGATACCAGAACCCTGGGAACAACAGAATGCTCCATGATTTTTTAAAATGCAGAAAGTAGCCTGAGATCTAGTAACTTAGCTTACTAGAATAACTGAGTAACTCCAGGAAAATTGTCAAATATGCTGTTTGTGAGAATTTGGAAGCAAATGTAGTCATCACTAAGAGTCGACATAGGATTATGAGAACATGTTATTGCAGACTGGTTGCAGAGAATTTTTAAAATATTTGTGGTAAATGCACATTTATTTTGTACTCTGAATACACTGAGACTTACTTTTCATATCTGACGAAAGCCTGGATGTTTGGTCTATATAACAATATCATGTGGCATCATTATTTATGTGGAGGCCGTTCCTGACATTGTTTATAGAGCATCCACAAGGAAATAGTCACAGCCTATCAGATTTGTTACCCAAATTCAAACCTCAAAGTGACAAGGTGCAGAGCAGTGTTCAGTTTACTTTCAATTCAGTGAAGTTTAAGGTAACAGAATTCTTACAAGCTGAGAAACTCTGAACTTGGAAAATTAGAAAAAAAAATTTCATTTAGTTGGTTTTGTTTGGGTGGCTGTAATATCCTGGTTAGAAGAAACTTCTCTGTAGACTTAATACTTGAGTTCTAGTCTCAGATGCTTTATCACTAGGTGTGAATCTTGGGAAAATGAGATCACCTTTCTGTGCTTTAGTTTCTTAATCTATAAAATGGGACAGTATTACCAGTCTCACAGAGTTATTGTGAAGCACATAAACTGTGTAAGAAATAATACTATGTTATCATTCATTTGCATACTTATTGATGGCTTTCTGAAAAAAATTTAAAAAGTATAAAATTGGACTATAGCATAAGACTAGATTTAAAGGAATATTTAGGTTATTTTTCTTGTTCAAAGTGGGATCTGATTACAGAGGTGGTTGCAGTAAAGTTTTATAGGGCTTGGTTTGTTGGGGGCTTGGAGGGAGGATTTGTGTACCAGTAGAATTAATTATGTCAGAAACACACTGAAGAAAATTTGTTATAAGAAGCCTCTAGATAAAGACTAATTATGGATGGTTAAAATGACCATTATAAATCACCCAGGGAAAAGAAAAGAAAAGAAAAGAGAAAAGAAAAGAAACAAACCCATTTTCTTTTTCTGATGTCTCAGCATCTAAATAACAACTCAAATACCCTTTCTCTAGGGAGGTCTTCCCTGAATATCTTTCCATCATATCTCTCTCCCTCACATTGCCCATTCAGAGCTCTCATCAATGCATGAGGTTATTTTACTGGTTTGATTATATGTTTGTTTATTTTTATCTGCCTTCCCTACGGATTATAAGCTTCTTGTAGTATATTGATCATTGCTGTACTCTCAGAACCAAGAAGATATCTTAGCCCATAATAGACACTCAATAAATATTTGTTAACATATGCATAATCATTTATGCGTAATCTATCTTTTCTTGTTTGTTAAACCATACCTCTGGGCAGGTTCATTTATGTTCATCATGCATGGGGTAAGATTCTGATTCAGTAAGACATTTGTATTTTATTTAAATATTATAAAGGGCACTTTGTGGGGAAAGGTTTCTGACTGAGTCATGAAATAAGTATTTGGGTTCCAAAATTATGACAGTGAACATAAACTCACTCTCTAAAGGCAATTTGAAATTCACTATATCCACTGTGTG